AATACGTTTGACTCACTTACCTTCTTTTTCTGATAAATTTATATAACTTGACAAATTATGAATTGCGGAGTATTCGAAAGGATGTTGCTGCTAGCGGCCGAAATAACCTCACTCCTGGAAGCCGCGCTCAAGCGTATCGAAAACAGCCACAAGCTCTCTGTTTATTACGATGCGATGCATTTCGTTCTGTTAATTGAATTTGTAGGCAAGCTACGCTCGATAGATGAAATGGCAACATCCTTCACGTGGTCTAGAACCTACCCTACTTGCCGAGTGCCTCCAAAAAGAGCATAGATGATTCATCAAAACCGTCTCAAGGTTCTTTTCTTATGAAACATGTGAGGGCTAAAAGAGTAGCGAACGTCAGCCGATTGCAATCGCTTATTTGGCCTCATACCGAGCGTCTGCGCAGTTTGAAAAGCGTTGCTCTCACTTAATAAAGGATAAAGCAAGGATAAAGCATTTGCCGTTGATCAATTTTTTGGGATGCGGCACGCATTCTACTTCCATTTGTACATTCGTAGTGGCGTTTGAATGCGATGTGGCCTATACAATGACTTGCGGGGGCCAGCCGATGTACAAGTCAGTGTTTTTATCCTCCCAGACAAGTCTGGTACCAATTAACCGACCCCGGAGGGATGGAAGGCTTGGTTGGCCCGGGCGACTCACGACCCAGGATTTGATCCCCGGACCGCTCGCGTGGTAAGCGCGCCACTTACCACCACCAGCCGCCTTTAACACATTGCGTACCGCGTGCGCCACCATGTGGCGCACGATTTCGCACGAAACAGCATAGTTTTATCTGATTTATTTGACATTTTTCAATGCTCCTGAACTGTTTGCACTCATTTTCAGAGCCGGGAAACCATACGTGTCATCACTGATAAAATTGTTGATAGATTAATGATGATACATTTTTGAAAAATATAAAAAATATACGAAGGTACTCATACAACGGCGGTCCGCAATGTGTTAAGGAGCCATAGCAATCGCTCAGTTCGTCCCTCGAGTGAGCGCTAATAAGGCATCCAGTCGTCCCTGATGCGTGCTGAAGTGCAGTGCGTTTTCTCGCTCGAGAAGCCTGACCAATTCATTCCTTCTTTTCGAAGCTCTCGTGATACA